AGAACATCTTCTCGAGGCATGCTATGGCGTCTGGATCTGAGATCAGAGGGTCGTCGGGTGAGTATTCCTCGTCCTCCATATCGGAGTCACTGCTGAGGGTTACTTGCGTCCTCCTTGCAGCAATTTCCTTGCCCTCGGGTTCCTTATTACCGGGAGCTGTACGCTGAGTTGCTCCTTCTTTGTTGGTAGGAGTATCGAGGGAGGGCATGGTTCGAATCGGGTTCGAAACCTTCGGCGCTTGTTGCTGTTCTTCCCGAGATCTTGGTTCTCCTCTTAGAGAAGATGATTTTCGGCTTCGAGTGCTCCTACCTTCTCTGCACTTCAATGTAGCTGTTGGGTGTGCTCGTCGAGTTTGGATTTAGGGTTTGAACTTCTTGGAGAAGTTCTAAGCAGTTGCCGGCTGTCCCTCGAGCCTCGCAGAGCTTGGTGATTACTCCTCGGAGGGTGTTGAGCTGATTGAGGAGCTCGGCTTCTCTTGGAGTAGCTCCGGTGGGTTCGGTCGAATCTTCCGGTGTCATCGTCACGTAGTTGGGTAACTCCCCTCCTTCTAGCACCAAACTGTTATGGTATTTTTGTGCAGGGTCATTTTAGTACTACGGAACACAAGAAGGTTCGTGTATGAACTGAGAGAAGCAATAGGGAATAAGGAGATTTGTATGAAGTAAGGAGAAATCTAGAGAAACAGCAAGAGAAACAATAGAGAAGGAGACGTATTATTGAGTATTTGAATAGGGGCTACAATATCTTGGCGTATGAACCTTAATTCTAGCCGCCTAGGTATAGTCTCTCTATCTCTAAGTGTCGATCCCTTATTCTAGGGTTTGTGTTCCCCTTATACAGATGTAGATGTCGGCTTGTATTAGGTTAAACTCGTCCATATTGGCGAATATGGGAGAGTTTCCTTAGATGGAGAATTTCCATTTTACTCAAGCGTCGGTTTAAATGCCGTTGTTTAAATTCATCTGCCTCTGGTATTTCAGGATTAACAAACATCTGACTTACATCATAAGCATTTCAGATTTGGACATCACCTATAACCAAAAATAAATCATAAGCATTTGAGTAATTTCTTCTGACATAAAACAGGAAAATGAAGGAATGCTAAAAACATTGAGAGCTAAGAAACATATTTCCAACTATATAAACAATGGCCATTTAGTACAAAATCGAAAAAGAAGTTTTCATTTTCAAAGAATACCTCTATATCTTCATGCCTTCTGTTTCTTGGCTAGCTGTATGAAGATTTCAGCAAATTTACCCCAAAGGCAGCAAGATAATCTCTGACCACTAAAAGAATTGCATATCAAGTTATAAATCAATATGTTTATAGGCCTATATCTTTTATATAAAATATATAAAACTTACGAAATGTCCACGAGACAAAACTCAAACTCATTCCTTTGTTTCCCACCATTACACCCTATGGTTTCCAGATCACCCAAGTCTTGAACTTGTCCAATAACATCTAGATAAAAATATACTCGTCTTAGATAGATAATCAACAATGGATATTTATAAAAATGGGAGAAAACTGACCAATAAGGAAGTTTGTATGTAATACTTTCTATGGTTTTGAAATCAACTAGATCAAGAAACATGTTGTCATCACGGTCTGTAGAATCGGTGATTTTGGTGGTGCCATTAAAAGCTATGTGATACTTATGCTGAGTTGATATGTATGCTCCACCAGCGGCATACACACTGAAACGATCAATGTTCCTCCATACTCCAACACGAATATTTTTGCCAATTCGGGAATGTATGTCTTGTTACACGAGGCATGGATCTTAGTTCCCTATATAAACAAAAAAAACATTATCATTTAGGTTAAACTTTTACCAAATGAAGATATCCAAATCATAAATCTATATAAAACGATAAACCTACATTTTCATCACAAAGGATTAGTTCCATGGTCTCCCCTATGTCTTTCATGAAATGTCTCCATGTATGAAGGATTTTGACTTAGATGCGACATGCAGTCTTCCTCGATTTTATATCGCTCAAGAAAGACAACTCCAAATTATTCGCCATTTTTGTTTTAGGTTTTGGAATTACGAATATAGTGTTTAAGAGAGGCTATATTTATAATAGGTAGGGACGATATACATTTAGGTTACGCAAATGCAGGACAGAATATTTAGACGATTTTTAAAAATATCTCTTTCGAGAAATAAGGAATATTTCTTGAAGATATTTTGAATTAGATAGGAAGTTTAAAGTTTAATAGTTAATGGTAATCCAACTACGGTAAGTTACTGAGATTTATGGAATCAAACCAAAGAATAACTAACCACGATATTGATTGTGGTTGATCTATAAACTTGTAGATAAAGCAATTTATTTATTTTAGTAGGAAGATAATTATAGAAAATAGTTTTGCAATATTTTCTTAACAAAACGTATCTCGTCCATTAAATGTCACCATGAGAATGATGATATATCGACATATGAAGGAAAAAATTGAAATGAAGGATATTTGGATGGATTCTCCATTCTCAAATGTCTTGAAAAAAACATAAAATGAAGGACATTTTAATCGATTCTCCATTCTCAAATGTCTTGAAATGGTTTTGAGGTATGAAATAAATGATAGAAGTAGTGAGTCATTAAAAAATGTTTGATATAGGAAGAGAACTCATGAAAATGTCGATATAGAAAATATATTATATAATACATTAACAAATGTCTACAACTATAACAAAATCTTTATATATGTATTATAAAGTGTAGTATGAGTTTATATCATATAATCTTTGAAATATAAGGTGTAGTACAACTATATGAAAATAATAATATCTGAAATATAGCATCATATCATGGTTAGAGTAATATGAGTTTATAAAGTATAGTATTTGAAATATAAGGTGTAGTACAACTATATGAAAATATTAATATATAAAATATTGCATCATATCATCGATATATGATGCATATACCAAAAAATATCAACCAAAAAATTATAATGTTGGAATTCTATAGATTGAAATCGTGTAATATAAGGTCTATAACACAATATAAATGTATGAAATATATTATGAAATATGGTTAAAGTAATTAATGGGAAGAGAGAGAATAAATCGGATATATGTAATATGTGATATGATTTGTAACAATCGATATATATATAGATTTAAGACCAAAAATAAATTACCAAAATACCATTAATGAGGTTGCAGACAACTTCCATCAGTCGATTTTTCAAGGTTGCCTTCACTTTTAATAGTATAGATTTATATCGTAATAAGCCATAATCAAATTAGGGTATCTATGAACATGCTAACATATCAAATTCAAACAAGATCCAATATCAGTATTAAACAAGTAAGCTCTAATACCACTGAAAGAATTCATACCCATTTATAACGATTTATAAAAAAAAACTATGAATTTTATTGCCTAGAAACTCAAGTAAATACTAAAACAAATTTAGATCTTAGAGTTTTGCATATACATGTATGTTTTGCAGTGGAAAGATGAATAATACGAATCGAGGTTTCTTAGCACTAGATACACATAAACTGAATCAAATCGGGATGCTCTTGCCATTGAAATCAAATATCAAAAATTTAACAGAATCTTTTGTCTCACTTGGGGTTTTATCTTAGTTGGCTACGTTTTATTCTATCCAAAAACATTAACCTCACGTCCTTTTATATGTCTCACATTATAAACAAAAGTAGGTTAATAATGGGCTTAACCCAAAGTCTTACTAAAGGGAGGAGTGAGCTTAACACAAGTTCATTAACGTGTTTGACATGCAAACATATATAATATTAATATCATATATTTTTATTATTTATATTATGCAGTAAAAAATATAAAATCATAACCAGTTTGCTTAGATGTGTGATCTTGTAGGATTATATAATATTAGTAATGAATTCTCGAAACTTAACATTACGATTTTTACTAAAGTAAGTACAAATGATTTTATAACATTCCCAACAATTGCAACAACTAAATGGTAAATATGCACACGAACAATCTCAGGTTTAAGGTTAATCTTCGAAGAGGCAGAGGAAAAAATTGGGTTTAGTACGTTAAATCAGTACGAGTTCATCGTGCAGTTTAAGAGGATGAGACGGTGCCTCTCTTCTCATTCCCATTTCCAAAGATATGTCGTCTCCTGTCATAAAAGGTATCTCATAATGGATCAGGATGAAGACGTTTGGTATAATCTGAAGACACCAACAGAAAATTTTTGTCCTTGGTGGAAAGACCTACGGCAGTGCCGGAAAATTAGCTTTAATTTCTGATACGGCATAAGGCTTTGGAATAGGAGTTATGGTTTTGATGATTTTCTATTTTACGTTAGATTAAGATTTAGATGTTTTCCTTTTAGTTAAGCTTATAGGTATTTTATTTTTATTTAGGTTATGATATCTTGTGTCGAAACCTATATAATGATTTTCTATGATTAATAAAGATTTACGAGATTGCAGTCGCCTCATATCAATTTGGTATCAGAGCTAGGCGATTCTATGGAGGACAAGGTTGACAATATACTAGCACAACTTGCTGCAGTAGCAGAAGAAGTTCGCTTAACGAAAGGGGAGCTATGTAGGGTTTCGTCGAAGGTGGACGAACATGATAAGTTGTTTGACAAACTTTCGGTAGAACCAAAAGGTACACCTGCCACCAAAGTTAACACTGCAAATGCTGACCAGGAGAAGAGATCAGCCGTCAGGTTCTCATCTGAGGAGTTAACGGACGACAAGGTGATGAGTGGGTTTAAAGGAAAGGGGTCAGTGCCAAGAACACAGGGGTTGAAACCAGCTCCGGAAAACAATCTGCAGACCATTGGTGAAAATACAGTTAGAGACGAGCATCCATATGGGTTCTTTGGTGGTCCTTGGACATCTAGGGAAGTAGGCATAGAACAAGGACATCGTCGTACCGTTGGAGGAGGAGACTGGCATGTGAGAGGTATCGGCGTCAATTATTCTCATGACGGGGTCAGAGATTACAATTAGCGCATTAGGAACAAAAACCATGACATGTATGAGGAAAATGTTGATGGTCGAGATAGAGTTGTGGCTTCACCGGCAAAGATGGAGTTTCCTGCATATGATGGTACCACGAATGCAGTGAAATTGTTGCAAAAGTGTGATGACTATTTCACTGATCAACGGATATTCAAGGATGATGCCAGAGCCCGGCAGGCCACATTTTTGTTGACTGGACAAGCTTATCACTGGAACAATAATCTTCGTCTTCTGGTTACGCATATACTGAGTTGGGTGAAATTTAAAAGATTAAGAGACAGGCATTAGAGTCTTCTTTTATTGCTAAAAGGGCTTATGAAGATGAACTCACATGGCACGATACATTTACTGAATCGAAGGATCAAGTGGATGCTATGGTCATTGAAAAGTATCATTGGGTGAAACCCCCCGCTGGAATCCTAAAATGTAATGTAGGATCCTCATGGGTAAATCCAAATCAGCCGAGCGGTGCATCATGGATTATTCGCGATGAAAACGGAACCACCATCATGCATAGTCGACGGGCCTACTCATACATGCGCACAAAAACAGCCCTTTTAACTTCCAACAATAACCTTAATCTCCAAGAGACCTATATAATGGTTCTCTTTCTCTTTTTAACGTGTAAAGATGGCACCAGTTATGAGATTGCAGTCGGCTCATATCACATTCCCAGGATGACTGAGTGACTCAGGTTGACCTGTTACACCACCGTGAGTATACACTGTACTATTGATACGTTGGCCCATTTAAGAAAAGGTTTAGAGAGTAAGTATTCTAGAAGGATAAGGATTAAAGGACGTGGCTTAGGAGGGAGAAAAGGCACATGGGATGTGGGTCATGAAGAATGTGTGGGAGTGACGTGGAAGGCTACACATGCTTGAGGCTCATCAATACGTGTTAGATGATAAGGGTTAGCTTAGTAGTATAAATAAGAACGAGACTTGTAAAGGAGAGGTATCAAGAGTTTGATCAAGTCATGTTCATGGAGAGAGGAGAGACTATAATTTCTCTCAAACCTTGTAAACAATCTTTTTTATCAATATAATCAGTACTTCCTTTTGTAATCTCTGTTTACAAGTTTGGATACGTAAATCGTATCAAATTGGTATCAGAGCAGTGACGAGCCATGGGGACTATTGAAATACCGATTTTCTAAGGGGAAGGTGATGATTTGATAGAGTGGGTGTGTTGGATCAACGACTTCTGTTTTGCTAAGGTTTCTCCGATTGTGAAACACTACAGTTCGCTTATAGTTTCATAGAAGGGGAAGCTTTGGATTGGTATCACGTCGTTGTTTAAAAGCTGGGTTAACCTTAAGTACAGACTTATGATGTGATTCACTAAACGCCTGAGTCAACAATAGGTGACTAACCGCCAGGAACAACTAAGGCAGATCAGTCTTATGTTGGACCGCTGGGATGAAGAAGACAAAGCGAAGAAACAACGTGAAGAAGAGATGTTGGCTGCTGGAGATTCGAATCAGATCCTTAGCTCTATCAAAGGATTTGTGAAAAGTTTTGAGTCGAGTCCATTTGTGACTGTACCGGAAGCGGTGAATGTTCTGTCATCTTGGGTCGAGTCTTCTCCGGTGGTAGTGGAATCCACTGATGATGTTGTGATCTTTGTGAAAGCAAGAGAAGAAGGAGACCAGACTGAAACAATGGAGTCTGTGTTCCAGACACCATTCGGATGTGCTAAGAGGAAATAAAAGAAAGAATAAGAAGCGATGGAAGGAATTGTAAGAGGATTTCAGATGACTCCTCTATGATCCAAAACAATGCTTCGATAGAAACACAGATTTGGTAGTTCCACTTGTAGAAATCCGTGAATAAGAAGAATTTCTCCAGTAATGAACTTGAGAATTACAGAATGTTTAGACTCAAAGAAATCAACAACAACAATTTTCTGAATGAACCTCAAAATGAAACGATGACTCTGTTTTTATAACTCCATCCCTCAATTAGATAACACCACGTGTACTCGTTACTTCCGCCGACTCGTTGACTCTACCAAACTCCAACAACCTCCATTTCCCACTAACCATTTGACACGTGGCTTTGGCGACTTCTTCTTTAATCTAGTATCAAATCTCCCCCATTCGAAGCAACTTGACCACAAGGCTCAAATGACGGAAACTTCTTCTGAATGTCAAATAAGAATTCCCAAGTTGCCTCTTCTTCAGCCTTATTCCTCCATTTAACCAATACCATAGTGACAGCATGACCTTGACGTTTGACCATCTTCCTCGCCAAATAGTACTCTGGTTCCTTGAGCACGACATCATGTACAATATCAGGTAAATGGTGAGTAACCTGAACATTTCCCACAGAAATCTTAAGCTGAGAAACATGAAACACAGGGTGTACGCGGGAAGAAGACGAAAGCTTCAATTTATAAGCCACTGCACCAGCTTTGTCAAAAACCTCATACGGTCCATAGAACTTTGGGGCCAACTTCGAACATGATCTCGTAACTACTGACTGTTGGCGATAGGGTTGAAGTTTCAGAAAGACCTTATCACCAATCTCGAAACAACGTTCACTTCTGTGCTTATCTGCCTGTTGTTTCATCCTGTGCTGAGCACGCAACAGATGAAACTTTAACAAAAGTAACATCTTCTCTCTGTCCTCCAAACATTTAGCTACTACTTGTACTCTTGATTCGCCTGGAACATACAGAAGGTGCACTGGTGGTGCCTGTCCATAGACGATCTCAAAAGGTGTCATAAGAGCAGAAGAATGATAACTTGTGTTGTACCAGTACTCAGCAAGGGGTAACCAATGACTCCAAAGGTGTGGTCGCTCACAAGTCATGCAACGTAAGTAAGTCTCTAAGCATCTGTTAACAACCTCTGTCTGTCCATCACTCTGAGGGTGATATGCCGTAGACGAATTCAGAGAACACCCTTGAAGGTTGAAAAGTTCTTGCCAAAAATCACTGAGAAAAACCGCATCTCTATCACTGACTATAGACCTCGGAAACCCATGAAGTCTATGGAATGTATCAAGGAAAGCCTGAGCCACTAAGGATGTTGTATACGGATGACTGAGAGCAATGAAATGCGCAGCTTTGCTGAATCGATCGACTATCACGAAGATAACTGTTTTCCCATAGATGATGGAAGACCATCGATAAAATCCATCGATATATCAGTCCAAACCGCATTAGGGATTGCTAAAGGCTGTAACAGACCAGGAGAAGCAGAGGTGTCATACTTGCATTGTTGACACACTGTGCAAGCGCGTAAGAAAGCCTGTACATCCTTAGCTAATCCTTTCCAGTAAAACACCCCTTTAATTCTTTGTATTGTCACTTCTCTTCCTGAATGTCCCCCTGCACTTGATCCATGTAACCACTCGAGGATCAACTTCTTAATAACAACATCATTTGGCACCACTATCTTCTGCTTCCTTCTCAAAACATCCAAACTCCAAACATAATGCTTCCTTGCCTTCGGATTTTTCTTTAAGTCCTTAATCAACGTCTTAATATCAGGGTCGTTTTGATAAGCATTTTTAATCCTCTGTAATAGATCACAATCCAACACTGACATTGCCATATATAAAACTTCTGACCCCTCCACTCTCGAAAGAGCATCAGCCACAACGTTGTCCTTGCCCTTTCTGTATTGAATTTCATAATCAAATTCTAAGAGTTTGGGGAGCCACTGCTGCTGTATAGGAGTATTAAGCCTTTGCTCAAGCAAATACTTCAAACTTCTCTGATTTGTCTTGATTATAAAATGGTTAGTCAAAAGGTAGTGACGCCATTTTTGAACAGCAAAGACCACTGCTAAGAGCTCCTTCTCGTAGATAGACAAATGAAGTTGCTTCCCCTTCAAGTGTCGACTTATATAGGCTAAAGGATGGCCTTCATGCATCAACACGGCACCTATGCCATGTCCACACGCATCAGTTTCGACCACAAAAGCTTTATCAAAACGTGGAAGAGCGAGTGTTGGAGTAGAAATCAGAGACTCCTTCAGCATTTCGAAAGCAGACTGAGCCTCCTCATTCCATAAGAAAGAATCCTTCTTCGTCAAGGCAGTTAAAGGTCGAGCAATGGTTCCAAAGTTCCGCACAAACCGTCTGTAGTAACCTGCCAGACCTAAAAATCCTCTCAAAGCTTTTAGATTCTTCGGTTGTGGCCATTCTTTAATGGCTTTAATCTTACCAGGGTCTGTCGACACACCTTCTGCTTCAATAAAATGACCCAAATATTCAACTCTCCGAGTTGCAAACTCACATTTGCTTCTCTTAGCAAACAGCCTGTTTTGCCTCATTAGCTCAAAGACCATACGCAAGTGTACAAGATGCTCTTCCAATGATTTGCTATATATCAGTATATCATCGAAAAAGATCAAGACAAATTTCCTCAAATGCTCCTGAAATATCGCGTTCATGAGCCCCTGAAATGTGGCCGGTGCGTTTGTTAGACCAAACGGCATTACCACATACTCGAAATGACCACTATGTGTTCTGAACGCAGTCTTATGAATGTCCTCAGGATGCATTCTAACTTGGTGATAACCAGCCCTCAAATCAATCTTAGAGTAAATGCTGGAACCACCCAACTCATCCATCAAATCTTCAATGAGTGGAGTAGGAAATCTGTCCTTTACTGTCATTGTATTGAGTTTCCTATAATCCACACACAACCGCCAAGTATTATCCTTTTTTTTTAACGAGAACCACTGGAGAAGCATAAGGACTTGAGCTTGCTTGAACCGTACCAGCCTCCAACAGTTCCTTCACCATCCTATCAATCTCATTTTTTTGAAAAACTGCATATCTGTAAGGCTTTTGATTGACAGGGTTAGATCCTTCCAATAGCGGTATCTTGTGGTTGTGGTTCTCTCTGAAAGGAGGAAGAGAGTTTGGTTCTGCAAAGATCTCTGCAAACTCTTCAGTCAACGCCTCTATCTCCTCAATCACATGAGTTTTCTGCTCACTTCAACCTATAGCATTTATCTGCAATTCGTCTTGTACCCCTCTGTCATGAACATAGAGCATATGTAGTTGCATCCCTTCATCACGTAAACAATCAATCCTTTTAGCTTTTACTTCCTGAATAGACCCCGGTTTGATTCCATGAAGTAACACTTTTGTTTTCTTCCACTTAAACTGCATCTCCAACTTCAAGAAATCCCACGTAATAGGTCCAAAAGTCCTCAACCATTGAACACCAAGAACCACATCATGACATGCTAAAGGAATAACCATGAAATCCTTGAACGATACTCCCTGAAACTGCCACTTGAAATTATCAATCCTTCCACAAACTGCAATCTGAGTTCCATCCGCAACAGAAACTTGTGTTCTGTTAGTTAACTCCAACTTACAGCCCAACACTTCTGCTAACTTCCTATCAATGAAGTTGTGTGTTGATCCTGAATCAATGAGAACATACAACGTTTTCTTCCCTTGCACACCTCTAACCCTCATAGTAGTGTAATCCGAAACAGCCGTCACTGCATTCAAAGAGATTTGAGCCTTATCATTCACCTCCTCATCATCCTCCAAATTATCATGTTGCACTGTGATAAGCTATATCTTCTTCACACTCCATTGAAAACAATTGATTTTTTTTGTTTTTCAAGTAGTGTTCAGGAGTAAACTTCTCATCACTATAATAGCATAATCCTTTTCCCCTTCTCTCACTCATCTCAGCCTGAGATA